ATTATTATATTAATAAAATAATCTACTAACAAAATCAGACATGGCTGGCTAAAGATTACAGAACTCCAGTTTTTGGACCGTTACACAAAATATCAACACAAAAAGACACAACTTATCCCCCGCAACATTTTACACAAATCCATATATTTTAACATATCATAATATTAATCTATGTTGATTTTTGTATCATTAATTTCATATTTACGAGTAATATTTATCTGCATTTACTTTATTGGTGGCCTGATAATATTAAAAAATATTTACACATTAGCATACAAAGCTATTTAGTTATATGTACGGTTGCAAATGTCTTTTTATACATTCAGTAAATTTTAATCTATGCTAGCATGTTTGTTATCATTTTTAATTACTATATTATCAGTTGATAGTTATAAATAATTTACCTATTAGTTATCATTCTTAATTACCAGATTATCAATTGATACTTGCACTTTTTTTTTTACCTATAATTAATCAATAAAAGAATAATTCTATAAATATTTGAAGTTCAAAAAAATCATTATACTTATTTTATACTCTAGATAGCTATAACCATTTGGGTGTGTTTGGTAGCTCGAATAACATTTTCAAAAATGTTTTCCGACCAAACATTTTCTAAAAGGAAAAAAAAAATTTAAGACTCTTAAATATAAGAAAAATGACTTTCTTAATGAAAATAGGAAAAAATAAGTTGTATGAGTGACATTCTAAGTTTATTATCTGTTCTCCACCCACTCAACCCGCTTCTCTTGAATCATCATTCTCCATCCTATCCAGTAATATTTGCTAGATAACATAAATGCTCTTGAGGTAATATTTTCTTACTTACCTACCAACTATGAAAAATGTTTTCCAACTTACCAAACATATTTAGGAGTCACTTGGTTGGAAACAAATTATTTCAGGATTAATTATCCTCGATAACTACTCCACCATATATATTTTATCACTATTATATAAATAGTGGGATAAATAATTCAAGAACTACTTAATATTTTTAATCAAAATATCAAAATAATTATATTTTATATCTCTCACCAAACAGTTTCTAAGCATAACTTATTTTACCGGTTGGTTGGTCCACATTGGCGTGCAGGCATTTTTTTTGTGCTGTTATGTGTCCGCAGTCCATTCGACTTACCAACAACTACTTCCCGCTAACAAACCATCTTATTTTTTACAATTCCTTTTTTTTCTTTAATTTTTTTAATTTGTCCATTATTTAATAGCCATTGTTGAACTTATATATATAAATAGAGGTATTAGAGTTCCCAAGATTGTCAGTTGTGTGTCTCGTTTTTAACGTTTAAGATCTCAACTTTCTTGCCCTTATTTTGATCTGTGAAACAAGATTTGATTTGGGTTTTCAGATCTGTTGTTGGGTTTTGAAAATTTCTTCCTGTTTTTGTTTAAGAAAAAAAAATGGCCAGGAAGAAGATCAGAGAGTATGATTCAAAGAGATTGTTGAAGGAGCATTTCAAGAGACTTGGAGGTTATGATTTGGCTATCAAATCTGCACAGGTAATCTTTTTTGTTAATTTACAAATGTGGAACAAATCTTATCTTGATTTTGAAATCTTTGAAATGTTAATGGCAAAATGTTGGCATGTTTTAGGTAGCATTTAGGCCACCTACTTGAATCTACATGATTCATTTGAGTTTTTTTTTTTTTCCCTCTTGCCTCATTTCCAGTAATGATGATAGCTTTGAGAATGTTGATTTTGACTCTGGTTAAATTTAAGTTGTAAAATGGTTCATTTCTGTATTTATTTTGAAGTAATGGTTGGTACCTCTGCTTTTGAGATCTAGTTTTGTCGACTGGGGCAATGACGGCTCAAGCACATTAGTGATCCAAAGCTTCTTATCAAGTGTATTCTTTTGAGATGTAAAGTTTTCTATAAGTGATTTCTTTTTTTTTGTTAGAGTGGGTTATAAGTCCCATTATTTGCTGGGGAATGGTCTGACGTTTTGCTTATATGGACTTGAACAATACTTTCCTTTCGAGCTAGCTTTTGGAGTTGGAGTTAGGTGTAGTTGTCATATCTTTACATGATATCAGAGGCAAATCGAGTTGGGCAATCTTCCTTTCATGAGTTAGCTTTTGGGATTGAGTTAGATTCAAGTATCATATCTTCACATTTTTAATAATCTTTTTCAATGAATTGATAATATAGTTGATCCATGAGATAGTACTCCAGATGTGCCAAACTTCTGATAATTCTCTCCTTTTATATGAAAAAAAATTAACCTTTTCTATATATAGTACTTACTCAATTTTTTTTTTTCTCAAAAAAACTTCAAACTTAATATTGCTAAAAATAAATAAATGAAGCCCCTCAAATTTGGGGGCCTAAGATACCTTTGCCTTTTGTTTAACTCTTCAGAACCTCCCATGTAGTGGGACAGAACAGGTAGGTCAGGCACAATGCTAAAACTTAAAGAGAGTGCCTAATATATTTAAAGGTACAAATGTAAACTCTTGGGACCACCTGCTCTGAGAGTTAGGTAATTGATAATCCTAACATTCTTTAGACTTAAGTTATTAGTTGTCTTAGAAAATACTCCTAATAAAGAAAAAAGACAAATATCATCAACCACTTATGTATCTTCCTCAAGTGTTTGATAATAAACAGTATAGATGACTAGTTTTATGAGTTTTATAAGACAAATATAAGTCATGATTGCAACTATAAGATGGTTTGTTTCCCTTCTTTTGTGGCTTAGGTGACAGAGTCTACTGACATCAATGAGCTAGCAGAGAAAGAGCCTTGGCTCAACTCAACAAAGTTGGTTGTAAAGCCAGATATGTTGTTTGGCAAGCGTGGAAAGAGTGGACTTGTTGCCTTGAATCTTGATCTTGCTCAAGTTGCTACTTTTGTGAAGGAGCGTCTTGGCAAAGAGGTAGTTCAGATAATCACTTACCTTGTCCCTTTTGATTAAAACCAAGTGTATTGTTTGTTTTACATGGACTATTAACATATAGTGTCCTCGTCTCGGATCATTTGCTCATGTTTGTTTTCACATTGACAGGTGGAGATGGGCGGATGCAAAGGTCCCATCACGACCTTCATTGTTGAGCCATTCATTCCCCACAATGAAGAGTTTTATCTTAATATTGTCTCGGAGAGGCTTGGTTGCAGCATAAGCTTTTCTGAATGTGGAGGAATTGACATCGAAGAGAACTGGGACAAGGTATGTGACATAGTCAAAAGTAGGCATGTTAAGTCCAAAAGCGTTATATTAATATCTCAATCTAACATATATTCCATTTTATTCAGGTTAAGACTATCTTTGTGCCGACAGGAACTTCTTTTACATCAGAGATATGTGCTCCACTTGTTGCCACTCTACCATTGGAGGTAAATATTTGAAAGAAAAAAGAAGAAGAAATAGTACTGCAAGAATAGTCTGTCTATTACTTCTTGTCATTCATCCAATTCATATTGCAATTTTAATGTGAATTCTTACTTGTATGTTACAGATTAAGGGTGTCATTGAAGAGTTCCTCAAAGTGATTTACACTCTATTTCAAGGTATCCACGAAATACTTTATCGTCATCACTAGATCTTTACGACCTTTTTTGGATTTTTGTGTAACCCTCTCAACAATTCTTTCTATCAGATCTGGACTTCACTTTCCTAGAAATGAATCCTTTCACATTGGTTGAAGGAAAGCCTTATCCTCTTGATATGAGGGGAGAGCTTGATGACACTGCTGCTTTCAAGAACTTCAAAAAGTAAATCTGCTGCTCCAACATCTGAATATACTCTTACTACTCGCTTCCTAAGCTTTATTGTTTAAACGTGAATCAACTTTAATAATATTCTTACCGCCCTGCAGGTGGGGAAATGTTGAATTTCCATTGCCATTTGGAAGGGTTATGAGTGCTACAGAGAGCTTCATTCATGGGCTTGATGAAAAGGTATATCTTGATGGTATTCTATTACTTACAAGGCAAAAAAAAAAGGTCTTCAGCTTGAGATTGCCAAATATCTGTCAATGTACTACATTACATGCTAAAGAATTCAAGTCGGTTTATCGCAGACAAGTGCATCTCTGAAGTTCACAGTCTTGAACCCCATGGGGCGAATTTGGACTATGGTTGCTGGTGGAGGAGCTAGTGTCATCTATGCAGATACTGTACATATCTATCCTTGGAAATTGTTATTCGATGATACCTTCTTTGATTATATATTCTATTGTCTAAACTTGCCATGTTACCTTAACAGGTAGGTGATCTTGGATATGCTTCAGAGCTTGGGAACTATGCAGAGTACAGCGGTGCTCCCAATGAAGAAGAGGTCTTGCAGTATGCTAGAGTTGTAATTGATGTAAGGATAAACTAGTTACATAAAACATTTTATTGACACAGAAAAAAAACACTCATTACATTATATTACACCACATTCTCCGTTTATGCATCCTGAAAGGAATTGGAGAAATATACTGACCCTAATCCCATATTGCAGTGTGCCACTGCAAATCCTGATGGCCGTAAGAGAGCCCTCGTGATTGGTGGTGGAATAGCCAACTTCACTGACGTTGCTGCTACATTTAGTGGTATTATTCGAGCTCTTAAGGAGAAGGTATGGCAACGTAACACAATTGGCTGCTCTGAAATGACTTGCCCCTGATATTGCAATTTCCTTACTCAACATTCGTTGTGGCAGGAGTCAAAACTTAAAGCTGCTAGTATGAACATATATGTTAGAAGAGGAGGTCCAAACTACCAAAAAGGTCTTGCAAAAATGAGGTCTCTTGGCGAGGAAATTGGCATCCCAATTGAGGTATGTGCTAGTGTCAACTACTAATAAAAGATGACTAACCATGTTTTGAGTTATCGTTGTTAAATAATCTTGTTGTAATTTTTGTTGAAGGTTTATGGACCTGAGGAAACCATGACTGGCATCTGCAAACAGGCTATTGAGTGCATCACTGCAGCTGCATAAATTAACCAACTTCATTCTCCAAGTTGAACCTTTTTAGTTGTCGTTTTTTGCTTTGTGTTAGTGTTTTGTTGTATGCCAACCAAGTATAAGCAATTTGATTTGTATGTTTGACATTTCACATAAATGGGCCATGAACAATAATGAATTTTAGTTTTTCAATTTCAACATGAAATCCATTGGTTTAACAATCTTTGTACTACTACATATAAAATCAAAGAGATAATAAATTACAGAAGGACTTACCGGTTACTAACATTATAATTCAATCCAAAACAACCTAACTAGATCTACTTTTCTAAGGTAGAATAAAGGAGCTAAACAATTCCTTCCCCTTGAAAAAAATAAGAGAAGCTTTGATGAGCTATACATAAACTTGTTTTTCAATCATCATCATTGAAACATCCCATATAACTAGTCCGCCAGATCGAGCCTGAGAAGACGCCTCAAGTCACTTGTAGCGTCGAGGTTATCTTCACTTTTCTTCTTGAAGAAAGCCGGCACAGGCAAAGAGCTCGGTGGCGGCGAAGAGGAGAAACCCCATCCAGCATAGAATTCAGCAATCCTTGTGTGCTTAAGCACCGTATCTGTAGTCGACAACACCAAATCTTCACCCTTGTTTTCCTTTACAACCTTCAACACTTGACCGCGCTTAAGAATTTTCACAGTGGAAAACTTAGCAGATCCATTTTTCTCTGGACTTCGCTTTCTTCGTTTATTCTTAGGGTTAGGGTTTGGTAGAGGGTTGCAAGTAGAATTCCGACGATAACTTACATGGTATTTGAGAACATCTTGTGGTTGAAGAATGGAAACTCCGGCCATCGGAAAAGTTGGTGGAACATCTGTGAGAAGAATTGATCTAGTCTTGTTAGGTATATATATATATAGGAAGAAAAAAGAGAAGCACCTTTTTATTGAATTTGAAACAAGTAGGAATTGGAAACGAGTAGGAAAGGGAGAACAAGTTAGTAGCGCCTCCAATTCCTTTTCCTATGTTGACCAACTTTCTTTACCAAACACTCTTTCTTATCTTCTAGTAACTTCCAACTTTCGTCATCATTAAGCATTCGAAGATGAACTGGACCACTAATAGATGTAGCACAATTGGCAATTTCAAGATGCCGCGTTGTTAGAATGATTTTACTTCTATCATGGATGCAAGGCCTTAAATCATCCCATACACTAGATTCCCACACATCATCAACAAGGACCAGATGTCTTTTGGAAAATAAAGTTCTACGAAGTGCATCAGCTAATTCATCAGCACGTTTCTCTCTACGATCAGAGTCCTCACTGGTAAAGGAAAACACCTTGTGAATGATGTGGTAGATAATCGCTTTGATAGTCTCAACATGCCTCGGGAGATCAAGACCAAGTGCTTGGTTCACATCCTCAATCATCATGTCTTCCTTCTCTTCTTTTATGTCAAACAATTAAGTAAATAACAAGTCCGGCATCAACAATAACAGAGTCCATGATATCAAGATCTAGTACTGGATAATGAATGAGATTGTCTCTTAATTGGCTGTGCATCTCCTAAAGGATCACGATTTGATCATCAGAATCTGAATCTACATCGCGAAATGTCTTCCAAATTTTGAGCATTTTCTGAGTTACATGTAGCATGCCACATTCACCTTGTGTAGGGGAAACTCTGCAAACCAAGAAAACAGTCATACGTAGTGTAATTCCACAAGTGGAGTCTGGGGAGAGTAGAGTGTACACATACATTACCCTCGGTGAAGTAGTGAGGCAATCAATCAATCAACTAGGCACAAATAATCTAATTTGCCGGCCTTTTTCCTTTATCAATATTGGGCTTAATTCCTATCTAACAACTTAAAATCTGTCAGCTTATGGCTTCACTGATGACCACTCCACACTAGTTTTAGACTTATAAAATTGATATTTGCCAGATATGACAAAAATACACAAAATATTACCACATGCATTTGATTAAATAGTCCCTAAAGTGTACCAATGAATAATTTTATTTTAATCACTAGCATATAATATAGCATTGGACATTGTACATTCACTACAACAAAAAAGAAATAAATGGTAACCAACTTACAATTACACCACCTAATTACCTGTCACGCCCCGAGCCTACACCCTGGGTGGGACCGGCACTCGAAGACCATTGATGTCCCCAAGCGAACCCTTGGCCTGACTTACTTAACTCAGCGGAAAACTTAACTCAACAGAATAACTCCATGCAATGAAAGGTCATCACAAAAGAACAGAGTCCTCCAGAAAGCAAGGAGGCTCACCACTGACTCTGGAGTGCTCAGCTGGATCAACGATGTAGAGGGACTCAATACTAACTGACTGACTGTCTGTCTTTGAAGCCTCTATAACACTGAGATGGATGTTGGGACAGACCCCGCAACATCCTAACAAAGCAAAACTAGGAACACAAAAGAACAGAGTCCTCCAGAAAGCAAGGAGGCTCACCACTGACTCTGGAGTGCTCAGCTGGATCAACGATGTGTTGGATGCTGATCCTAGGTACCTGCGTCTGCATCATCATAAGATGCAGGCCAACTGGCATCAGTACATTGAATGTATGAGTATGCGAGCTGGAAAGCTAAACAACAACTTAAGCTTGAAAGGAGTACAAAGGAACTCTTACCTTGGCTCTGTTCAACTCATGAATAACCGAACTCAATATAAAGCAATAATACACATGTAATATATATAAAGCTTGTAAATCAGTGTAAACAACTTAGTTCGTTAAGGATAAAGCAATAACAAACTCAACTTTACATATATAAAAGTAATATAACTTTAGTGGGAGATTCTTTAACCGACAACCACCACTATGAGCCCTAGTGATGATACAACATTTTAACTCACGTTGCCCAAGGACCATCCTATACCTTGCTGTGATATAGGGCCTTACTTTAACTTAGTAGATCCACTAGCTTAACTTACATGGTCATCTAAAAAGTATGACCCGTTAAATCACATGTTGGCTACATGGTTCTTATGGAGAGTTGAGTTAATATGAACTCGTGTCCCCAATTCGATGCTCAAGGCTACTCCCAAAACATACTTTAGCTCATACGTGTTTTAAACACATCTTTCTTTAGTTTGAGATTATTGCTCAAAGCTTAGCCCAAAGGCTCTTTTGGAATCAATGTTCCCTTTTCTTTGCTTAAATGTGAAAACATTTATAAGCTTCTTTGGGAATACATAGTTCCTAATAACTTTTGAGAAATGAACTCAACTCTATACTCTTGGCTTAACTTGAAACTTGAGCCTTAAAACGAAGTTAAAACGTTTAATAAAGACTCTTGAAAAACTTTAAAGACTTGCTTTGACTTGCTTCTTAACTTCTAAACTTGACTTCTAACTTCACTTGACTTTGATCCTAACTTCCCTCGAATTGGATTATGGATTCAAGGGTAATGATCTCATGTTTATGGATGAGTTCGTGATGTTTAGACGTACCTTGGAGTGTTGAAAACAACTATAAAACATAGGTACATTACCAAGGAACATGTATGAAAAAGTGGGGAAGGAATGGGAAGGATTGTCGTCCTTGGCAATCTGAGAGGCGCGGGACGCCAGCCTTCAGACTTCAGAGGGGCCTGCTGGGCACTCTGCACGGCGCGCCGCCCCAAGGGGGAAACCTCAGAACCCCTGTTGGGGCGCGCTGGCTGGCACGACGCCCCAACCTTTTCCCCCGAAAATCCGACTTTTCTCCTTTGTTTTTCCAACTCTAAACCTTCTTAACTTCAAAGGTTCCAGCCCCAAACACTTAGAATCATAAAACCCCTTAATATACAATGGATTCAACTCGAAATCACAATCGGAAACATGCACCAAACCAACAAGAAACTTCAACACAACCACAACTTCCACAAACACAACCAATCTTTTTCTCGGAATTAAAACAAGTTTGGCGTGTGGGGAAAAGAACCAACCCAACACTATGATCTCACATACCTTAATAGGGATCACCCCCGACGAAAACCACGACAATCTTGACGAATCCTTGTTTCTTCTTCTCTTTCTCCTCTTCTTTCTCTCTTCTCTCAAAAGCCCTAACTCTCACTTTAAAAAGGAAAAACTGATTTAAAATCAGTCTAAAACCTTACTATAACCAAAAGAAATGGTTAGGAAAAAGACCAAAATACCCTTACAAATTCGGACTAAATTGCCCTGCCAACTGCCCAACTTCCAAAGGGCATAACTCACTCATAAGAACTCGGAATCGAGCAAACTTAGTGGCGTTGGAAAGATCATTCCAAGAGCTTTCCAAAAATAACTGGAAATTCACCTAAATCATCTTTATCTAGGAGTTATGACTACTCAAAGTTGACCAAAAACTCAATTTTTTCCCATACTTAACCAAATTATCAGATTTTAAATTCTTTCCAAAAATGACTTTCCAATTTCCAGCTTATTCATAGTTATTTCAACTTACACGATGTTACAACTGAAGTGGGTTTGGTTCAGACCAAAGAAGTTGGAAAAATTGTTGAGGAAACAAGCGCTAAAAGGTAATTCATACCGAATATTGTATGGGGATGTGAAAGATTTTTCTAGGATGATTAAAGAAGCTAATTCAAAGACTATGAATATTTCTGATGATTATTTAGCCCCAAGAACAGTGCCTTTCTTTCTTGAAATCATCAAGAAATATGGTAAGTTTTCGAGCTCTGGTAACTGGTAAAGTTGTTGGCATGTGATTAGAAAGTCATAGATTCGAGTTGTGAAAATAGTCTCTTGCAGAAATGCATGAGCTTAGTGCTAGCCCATAGCTAATAATGTAGCTCCGCAATCATCAAGTGGCTTAGATAAGTACTAGAAACTCCCAACTTCCCTTGAGAATTGAAGAGTATAATTACTCCTTCCAGTTACATGTGTAATTACCCATGTCAATTACACGTGTAATTACCCCTGCCAATTGCACCAAATTACCTTCTGACCAAGTAATTACATGACCAATCAAGCAAGTCTGACATTGTGATTACATCCAATTACACCAAATCGAATTACCAGGATGACTTCCAAACATACCCTTAGTGAAAATAGATTTTTCTTTTAGTGACAGTATTTATTGTCGCAAAAATATTTAGTAGTAATTTAGTTAATGCATTATAGGCGCGTGCTTCAGGGAAGGATTTCCTCCCGAGCTTGAGTCATTTTATCCATTAGCAGAAGAAGAGAAACTCCATTACACTCTCTGCAACCTGGTTGGTACAAAAAGAAAACATGGCGGTCGTGGCCAAGTGTAACTAAAGGATGGGTTGATTGGGTTGATCAATAGGAGAAGGTAAAAGGGGAGACATGGAGAACTGCTTGTATATATGGTGCCATCCAGTTATCTAAAATCGACATACCCCATGATAACAACCTTTTGTATGCTGCTCTGTGCTTTTGGTCAATATGAGGTAACTCCTTCCTTTTTAACTTTGGCATGATGGATCCAACCGTATTGGACATTGTTGCTTTGATAGGACTTAGACCTCATGCATAAGAAATGTAGAGCAATCCTGGATATCCCAATTTCAATCTTTAGTTTGCCATAGAGAAAGAAAACTAAAAATATATCTTATGAAGGTTTTATCAAGGTTCACGGAAAGAAAGGATGTAACGGATGATGAACATATCACTTTCCTAACTATGTGGCTTTGCAAGTTCGTCTTGTGCAATGGTTTGTTAAGAGTAACAGTGGAATATAGTCAACTAGCAGTTGCTCTTGTTTCGGTCAGGAAGATTGCTTTGGCTCTTTTTATATTATCTCATTTGGATCGAGGCTGTAGAAATAAAGTTACCAGAGACTTTGATCATGCAGTGCTCCTTCTGGATCCTACATCTCTGGCTGCACTCTTATTTTCTTGAATATATACCTTTGCCTTACGATTCACAAAATTGTCCAATTTTTGGGCTTGCCCTGGCTCAAGGCAAGTTTAAACATAATAACTTCCGAGAATGCTTTAAATTCTTTTATTCATACTTCTCCAGAAATCCTAGCCTGTTCACTCCAGTTTCTCCTGAATGGCTGAGATTTCCACTGCATCATACATCTCTTAAGCAGGAGTTAAACGACATCTAGTCTAGTTTCCTTATTGCTCGAGACCTCCAGTATGACCCTTGCATTGACAAATTCTAGTGTTGGCCAAGATGGAGTGGAGCATTACTCTCCAAATCAATTTACACGAGAGTTTGGCATGAAACTTACAGTGCCTCTCCCTCCTCATCATACCATCAATACTTCATCACTCGATAGAGTTACTTTCAATTTAGTAAATTGTATTCAAGAAGTGGATTCAAGGTTTTTTCAGTTGAAGAGAAAATTTTCAGTTGTGCAATTTCATGCCAATCCAAAATGTATGCCATTCTTTGAGCCCTGGTGGACGACTTATACACATAAAAGTCAATTTTAATA